TCCTCTCCTCTCCTCTCCTCTCCTCTCCTCTCCTCTCCTCTCTCTCTTCATCTTCCAGGTTGTGGGGTAAATCTTGGTATGCGTGGTCTGGAGTCGATGGCATTGTTCATTTACCAAACAGCCACCGCCGTGGACCAGAAAGATATTCTCGAAGCGCTGTCAGTGAAGATGCAGCACTCCAGACAAGTGGCTGAGACCTTCAGGCAGACCGGCCTGGCTGAATCAATGTATGAATGAAGCAGAGGGACATCCTGGTGAATGCACAACACCAAAAAGTGGAAAGTGCTGGTGGATCATTTATGTTTACAACAAATGTTTACAATGAATTACGTCTGAAGCTGAAATAGACCACTAATGGTTTCATCCTGAATGGAGCTGGATGCGTGTGAGCTGTGAACAGCTGGGTAATGGATGTAAACATGTGCCCATAAGTCTTTGTGACGTTCAGTGAGTAGATCTGCTCTTAAGGGAGAATAGCACTGGCCACATGTTCCATATGGGAAGCTCTTCTGATTTTCAGCTTACAAAGCGAGATAAGTGACTTGATTTCCAGAAGTGGTCTGATTGTGCTTAGTGGACGACAGGGGAACACACGTGTAGAATCAGATGATGTGATGCAGCTGCTCCAAAGTTTTCTCATCGAGCCTTTTGTCTTCGTGTTGGTTTGACAATGTGCTGATAATCATGGTGATTATGTTGTGAGTCATTTGCTTTAGCGGCTTATTTTCTGTGCTATTTTTATAAATTAAGAATTGTGGCACATTTCAAAAATAGGGGACTGGAACCATAATATGGAGAAACTATATTGTGACAGATTTATATTTTGCTGGCCTCACATTTTCACTTTTCTTGGGATATTTTTCTCAAGGTGATCTGAACAATAGAATCACCCATTATTAAGATCGTTATTTCAGATGAAGGAGACTGTGCTGATTACAATGTCCTGCTCCTGTTGACGTGCCAATAAAGATGAAAACACATTGATTTAGTAAGAATGATATGGATCTTACATGAAACCCTTTCATTGGTGGTCATTGTTAAAATGTAATAGATATTTAATATTAAAGTAAAAACAGAGAAGATAGTCAGGTCAGGAAAAAAATGAAGCATCAACGTGAATT